TGAGTGGTAAATATGCCAGCTATAACAATAAATAATTCAATAAAATAAGACAATAAAAATGGTTGACAGAAATGCCAGTCTGACACACCCAAGAGTCCATAAATAAATGTGAGTTATTTCATCAAAACATCTCCCACAAAACATCACCCTTTTTCCGTTAGTTCGTCATTTCTACAATTAATCTCTCTACCTCAAGTCACGCTGAACACACCCGAGTTACACAGTCCAGAATTCAAACCCTCTGCCTTGAGCCAACAAAAGCTTAATGCATGCAACATTTGTTCAATTCAAGGCTATCTAACTCAGGGTGCAGCCTTGTCTAAAGCACTAAGTGCTGTTCACCACACATTCCAATCCCTTTTATTCACATAAAGCCCTCTGCTTGGATTCTTCCATCTGGGAAAACTTTTTCTTTCCTTTTTTTTTAATGAAGCAACGTTTTCTTTAAATTTAAATGAAACAAGATGGTGGAAGTAGCTTTACCACACACTTGAAGCAAAATTAAGCATGTAGCGAAAATTTTATAGCTAGCATTGCTAAAAAAAAATCTACTAAGAATTTGCAAATTGAAGACATTTCAAAATTTGAAAGACTCAAAACAAGAAGAGGAAGAATATTAAAAGAAAGTGAAGCTGTCACAACAGCAAATTCCCAGACGGATATCTCTTTGACTTATTTCTCTGCCCCTAGGTTATCTGTGCTGCTTTTGCTTGTTTATATTTAAATGGCAGAGTCAGGTATTGGATAGATAATTGGTACAATTGGTACAAGGTAAAGGTATAATCATATGGACCCGTTTCGTAAAAGAACTTCAGTCCCAAACCTGGTCTTAATTTTAGGACCAAAATCTTAATTTTATGACCGAAATTCAGTCTACTTCAGTTAAAGTGCAGCAGTCTTCTTAAATAAATCAAGAATTAGTCCGAGACATCAGTCATGTGACATTAGACCGAGTCATGCCTTCTTCATTATAAAACAGGTGCAATGCTTTATCTAATTGTACTACCCACAATTTAATCTCGTTTCAAAGACCAGCATTTGTGTTCAATAATTTTGACCAAGTTCTTTTGTGCAACGGGCCCCAGGTTTCCTTGAGCTCTGCACAACCCATTGTGTTAGCTGTGCCACCAGAATGTTCCTGGGTGAGACAGAGCACAATGAAACCAATTGGGGGTGGAGGCGAGGGGGGGAACCTGGTTCTGCCCTTTTTTACAGTGCCAATATCAGAAGTTGGAGTTAGGGCCAGAAGCAACTAGAAGAGGCTGCGGAGGTGTAATATAAATGCTGCCGTACCGCATTAATGGCTGTGTCACATACGAAGTTGTAGCTCTGTAAATAGGAAGATAATGTAATAAAGGAGGCAATATTACTAAATAACCAAATAATAAACATCAATAAAAATTGGATGGAAAAAGGATAAAAAAAAAAAGGTGAAAGAAAAGTAAATTAATGAAGGTCTCCCCTGGTTTGGGAGTAGCAGGTATGTGGTTTGAATTAATATCTGATTACCATAGCAGCCTAAGTTTGATTGCACTGGATTACTAGCCCTATCTACAACTCTGGCGCCAGGAAGAAAATCATTTTCCAAAATTTATATAATTGAAAATCGAAACAAATTGAGGGGCATTTACTGATTCGAAGCAACGCTGGCTCATCAAACAGCCTGTAAAAAAGGATTTCAATCATTGTCGATGAATTTTTTTTTTATTAAATATTAATGCAACATGTAATGATTGAAAACTGTGAACAGTAATTTTTCTTTCACGCCAAAACAAAAAAATAATTGTAAGTTGTAAAACTGAGGACTTAACCAAAAATAAATTAATTTGGAATAATAATTTGGAATAATTTGGAATAATTTGGAAAATTCATTTCCTAGTCTTGTAAGCCATTCTTTCACTCTCACACATCACACGGTCAGTCAGTGCTTCCTCTATAAGTAAAGAAACCTCTAACCAAAAGGCCTTGAAAGGATTCCACTGATGATGGTAAAAAATATGCAGTAAAGCCTATCAGTATACAGACACATCAGTGGTTGAAATGTGCAAAAATATTTTCTACTCTTTGACTGTACAGTTTTCATGTTACTTACACAGCAAGAATATGGCTTAGGTTGCTAACCTGAAATATTATCTATTCAAATGCCTTCTGGATTTCTAATTTTCTTGTTTTTTTTACCCAGGAAATGATTTTACAAGAAGGCATAAATACCAGTTTATTTTTGCAGACACACAACCACTTCATGTCTTGAGAAAAACACACACTCTATATTAATAAATCACTACTATGATATAATCGTAATCTAAGCCTTTTGATACCTTTGATAGTATGCATTGTCGTACCTAGAAATTACACCCAAATAGCGAAAAAATCATAGGTTGAAATACAAATTACAGGAACATTAAGGCATAAACAGTATGGGAGGTCTACAATACAATATTTCAACATCGTACAAAAATGGAGGATTTATTCTTGCAAATTTTGTATTAAGCAACGAAGAAGCAAACAAATCTACTGTCTACAGAAATGAAACTTTATGCAGGATCAAATATTTAATATACAACAAGCAATTCTTCTGATTTCATTGACTAAATTTTTCCAGGTATTTGAAAAGAAAGTATTGCACATGAGGATTCTTTACATCTACTGACACATTCAACATCTCAATTACATGCCATTTACACTGAAATCTTCACAATACACCACAGAAACATACTGAGAGAACCTCTGAGTTCTTACTACTAGAATATGATCTCTAAAAAAGCAAGAATACACAAAAGGAAATGCAAACCTGGAAGATGTTAGGAAAATAAAACTTGAAAGATAGTGTTATCAATGTATTAAAGAAAGAAAGAAAAATTCTAAAATTACAAGGAAATTAAGCTATATAATGGTAAACATAAAGGGTAAGTCAAAATCTGATAAAGGTTTATCTACTTCATTTTCTAACATCAAAGTTTTTTTCTTTTGTCCTTTGTAATAAACTTCAAAAACACAAACTTATTCAAATGTGTTATTAACAAACTTTAAAAATTAAGACAGAAACAGAAGATTACCAATTTCAGAAGATACTAATATCAGAACTTTTTATCTAGCCAGGTTATTCCAGAAATTCTACCATGCAGCATATGCGCAAGGGGTTAAGAGTAGTCAAGCAAAAACATCACACAAACAAGGACAACACTGACCTTATATATTTTGCAGGGCTCAATATTACTATAATTTCTATCTAAGCACTCTATGATACTTACATTATTTATAAAACTTTCAAACAACTCTCTTGTTATAGTTATTTCTTACTTTTTCTCGATTTTTTTCATTTTTGATTGTAAAAAATGCAATTTTTTAAGTCATGCCTTTTCAAAACTAATGAATTCAAATATTTCAGTATTACTAACAAAATGTCTTGAGGATATTTCTAAATTCATTTTGTTTTGCTTTCAAGCATAATTACACACAAAGAATTGTACTTCTTGATTTCAGAGAGCAAAGTGAAATGTGACTAATATCGAACTAATATCAAGCCCTGCAAAAACAGTGTTTACTTTTCTTCGTGCTATTTAAGACAAGAAACTACCCATCTTGCATGCAATACGGTGATGTGAATTGATTAAATCAAATCATGAACTGATGTAGCTGCTAAGAGACCCCAACAACCCCCCCCCCCCCCCCCCTTGGGTTTGCAGCCGTCCCCCCAGGTACACAATGACAAATGTGCCACAGGGAGACCGGGTCTGTCAAACCGTAATTGTCAACACTAAGCAAGCCCCACATATGACACAACATGACACAAAACACATCTGTAACTTTCTGGCAGTGCCACAGATCACACACCACATGTTTGCTGCTTATTGGTCAAAAGTCAACCAATCAAACCTACCCTCGTTGATATTCCCCAAAGCCTCCTTCGTGTTGTTCAAATTCTGGACCTCTCAACTGTTCTTTCTCATGGACTGGAAAAAATGTTAATTATGCATTATGTTTAACAACCAAATCAAAGTAATAAATAAATGTATCAATACAATACACTTGCTCCTGTAAGTATTTCTTCTTACATATTGTAATCTTAAGTTGACAATTATTTTTGAAGGTAAGTGTGTGTGATTGGTAATTTTAGTTGGTAGGTCTAAATAGTTATATTCTACATTATACACAGTACTGAGGCAAATGAAGAGTGAAGTTTTACGCATCTCTTCATTATTATCACGATCATCATTTTAATCCATTATTATTATTATTATCCCACTAGCACTATACCTGGATAATTCTCCCCTCTCTTCCTCCTGAGTACACAGACTACTATCAAGATAAGGATGAGGGCCAAGATGGCAATAATCATTCCATAGAACCAGCCTGCTGTGCCTATATATCCAATAGACATCGCTGAAAAGGAAAGAGCATACATTAATGAGCTATTTTGCTTCTTGCTGAAGCTCAATAGATATCCATTATGAATAAACATTGAATGAGATATGTTTTGGTGAAATCTTGAGCAGTGGATGTCACTTCTACATATCTCAAATTATTCATGGTCACAAACTTCTTAAAATGCTGGGCTTTGTGATCCTAGGCAGGAGAAACAAAATCATATAAAAACATTTAAGGAATTTCTTTTCATGAATTAAAAAATGTCAAGAAACAGACACAAATGGAGATCAACTCGAAACTTCTTTCAAGGAAATCTTCATAGGTCCAACCATGAGAAGGACACAGATTTGGAGGTGATATTGAAACTCTTTATGGGTATCTCAAGACTTCATTTCCTTCTGCCCTACCTGAACCTAAGGTGTCTATCCCCTTTACGTCGCTGGCTGTGCTGTACTGTTTGCTGTTCATGGCCACCAGACGGACCTCGTACGTGGTCCCAGGATCCAGCTTAGAAATATTCCTCCACATTCTGTCCGTCTCCGTGAAAGTGTTCATCCACATATTGGTGCCTGAGAGAGAAATATCAAAGTGTGTAAACATATTAAAAAATATAGCAATATTTATAAAATATAAAATTTAAAAAAAAATGCTTGATTTCTTTAATGATAGGGTTCCTCTCTCACTGCTATTTATTTTTTAATCAAGACAGTGATACCTTTACAACATATCTGAAGTTGCAATACAGGAATGAGAGCAATAAGGATTCTTGAATTAAATTATGGTGACAAAAATATACTAATGAAAAAGATCTATTATAAAGTAATTAAAAAGGTCACCTTACTTAATTTCATTTACTCCTAGTGTTTTATTTTTCAGAGTTACACCTACACATGATTTTAATATCATTTGCCAAGCAGTTAAACAAGAATGTGAAAAAGAAAATATGCTACGATGGGTACCAAAACAGAGCTTTCGACCACAGCCTAAAAAAATTACTTTCATTCCTCTGGGGTAGTGCTAACACTCGCCAATTTAGCCAAATGCTAAAGCTGGCTTAAACTGGCTAAACAAAAAGGACTTGATTTGACCAATTTTAGTCATATTAACACCATTTGGATAACAAATTGACAAAAAAGTGGTGTTTTGGCTAAGCGAAAAAAAAACTGCTAGCACCATCCCAGTTCCTGTATGTACCTTCACCATTTCTTAAGTAGTAAAACAGGAGCGAAAAGAAACCAATTCTCGAGCCTTTACAATTAATATGGTGAAATTTCAATCTCATGGCACCACTCACCTTTCTTCCTGTACTGGACATAGAAAGCACCCCCAGGGTTCACACTGGCCGGAATGAAGGTCACGTTGATTGGACAGTCCACCACTGATGAGCATGGTCCAGCGACAGCCCTGAAGTCAGGTTTACCTGGGCCTAGAGAGTAGAATTTGTATAAAGAAAGGCTGTGCATACATACACTAGGTACTGGATCGTAGACAAAAATGCACTAACAATGGAATAATTTACAAGAAAAATATGATAAGTATCATATTTGGAAAAACAGAAAAGGGTATAGAGGTCTTGAAAAAATAAACCTTTCAGAACAAAACTTAATTTTATCTGAACAAATGACCAGAGTTCTTTTTAACTTGGCAAGAAAAAAACTATTGCAAAATATATCTGTTTTGTTTTGAACAATATGAAATATTAAATTAGCAAAGTCCATAATTAGAAAGGGCAAAAGAGTTTTAAAAAAAAATAAAAAAAAAAAAAAAAAAAAAAAAAACTTACTTGAAGGCTCCAGAGTAGCTGCATCTAAGAAGTCTTGCTCGCCACGCCCCACATTCGTGCGCGCCCACACATACACCCTGTAGCGCGTTGAGGACTTCATTCCTGTGATTGTGGCTGTAAAACGGTCTCTGGTATCGTCTGGTCCAATTGTCATGGCAGGTTCTTTGTACTGGATGGCTCCCAGGGACAGCCCAGTGACTGGAAGAAAATTAACAGTAATTCTCCTAAGGTTCAGAATATAAACAGTACTTTTTGATATTTCTAAATGAAATTTTCTAAATACACCTTGAAGTTCTTTGTAACCAAACTCCCTACCCTATTCCTGTACCCTCACCCACTGGATATAGCGAAACTTCCTCTGGTTGTAATTTCTCAAATGGCTGATACTGAAAGTGCCTCTGTACCAGTCCTTTTACGGGGATAATGAAACTTCCCCCTGCACCTACCTGTCCTGTAGCCAATGTCATAGCCTGTGATCTTGCCATTGGGTTCAGCAGGCTTGTTCCACTGAAGCTTAATGTGGTTTGGACCAACAAGAACAAACTGGAAGTTCTGCACAGGACCTGGCACTGGAAACAAAAACAAAGGAAAAAAAACCCATTAAGATATGACCCCATAATGATCATTTTAAATATCTGAACACCATTCAGAACCACTAGACTCAACTAACATTAAACAGGGCTAAAGTATATATTATATACAATTTTGGGAAAAAAAATCACATTAAAGATAAGATTTTTTAGACATAAATTCTGCTACTGTCTGTTAGCTAATTCTTAACTTTTAAATAAAATCGAAATGCTTGTTAAATAGTTTGGCAATGTCTTAAATATGAAAAACCATTTAATCCATTTAGAACTACTCGCAAATAAGCATAAGTAACATCTTTAATCACCTCCTTCTGGTGTCTGTACAATGATCTTATTGCTGGGTGGCCCTGCGTACTTCTTATTAATCACACGAACTTGGGCGACGATACGCTGTGAGGAAGGCAAGTTACTTATCGTGGCCTCCATCTTGGGAGGCGTCTGCCGTTTGGTGCGTATCTTGTCGACCCAGTTCCTCCCCTCCAGAGCGAGATCTCGCGTGTAGATGTACTCGGTTCTCATTCCCTGCTCTCCTTCCTCCTCCAGCCAGAACTGAATCTAGAGACAGGCAAGAAATCATAAAGTCAATCATTTCTATAGAGATTTAAAATGTTTTATTTTTCCCCTCCTTATGAGGCACGACATTTCAAACCTTCATTTAAAACCTTTATTAAGAACAGGATCTTTTTTTTCACTGTCTTAACTCAAAAATTGTATCAGTGCTATATCCAATGCATCCCATCCCCCTGAAATGTTCTCATTTACTGACAGCCACAAGCTCATCACTTCCCAGTTTTGTTCAGTTCAATATTACACAATAAATTATTAAATAATTTCAAAACTCCACCCTTTATAATTTTCAAAGTAAATGCTTCCATATACAAAACATCCAGCCCAAGCCAACAATACCAAGCAAGATCACACATACCTGGTAGCCTCTCATGAAGCCTCTAATCTGGTCACTCTCAGGGTCCACAGCGTCCCATATAAAACTGGCCTTGTTGGACGTGACAGCGACATTGGGGTTCAACATGAAGTTGGTTGGGGCCACCAGTGGTGCTGGAAGACGAGGGAGTTTCACTATGAGCATTATATAAAAAGTGCTGTGGGCGAGTGTGCCAATTGTACCACATTATATAAGGTGTAACGTACGTGTGTGTGTGTGTGTGTGTGTGTGTGTGTGTGTGTGTGTGTGTGTGTGTGTGTGTGTGTGTGGGCGCACACGCGCACCTGGTGTGTGTAAGAGCACAAATGTCAATTAGTAAAGAGAAATTCAAAATAAAGAAAGAAAAATCTGACTGACACCTCAAACATAATTTGAAAATAATTATGAATATTATATCCTACATGTATCATGATGCAAGAAAATGAAATCGAGAGCCCACAAAAATGCTTCTGCCATCCACTTACTGCTCTCTCCAGAAAACCCAACAATAGCCGGCTCGTCAGGAGCAGCAGACATGGAATTTATCGCCTGCACTTTGATGGCGTATGGAGTGTAGAAGGGCGTGTTCTCAATCCTGAGCTCTCTTTGGGTCCAGTCATCGATCCTCACACTCTTTATAATGTCATTGGGAATGTCCAGTCTGTAGTACGTGATCAGGTAGTGGAAACCCTGTCCATTGTGTTCCACTGGGGCCATGGGCTGAAAACAGAGCCGGAATTATAATTCAAGACTATATTGACTATATTTCTATAATAAATAATATTTCAATTCTTTCATCTGTAGTGAGCATGATATAAATCCTTCAGATGGACACAGCTATTCTGGTGCATTGAATAACAACAGCTGAAAGCTATACTAGACAATAAACTGATATATAATTTGTTGATGTGATCAATTATATATTCTAGTTGTAATACATTGTACAAGGGACCTGGTTTTACAAACTGCCTTCGGTTCTTGGGCTAAGCTTAGCTAAAACTGGTATCTGACACACTTTTATGTGGGTTTCTGTGGGAAATTTATAACTTGAATCAAGTCAATCACAATTTGCTTAAGGGATCTGGTTTAAAAAAAATATAACTTAAAAATATTTTCAAATTCTATGTGAAATGCAAATAAGCCTGCTACTTTTTCAGCCCCAAAAACAGTCTTCCATTAAAACTTGTGAAAACATCAGTCTTCATTGTATTCCTCACCGTCCATCTGATGTGTAACTGATCCCACTCCGTGTTCCACGTCTCCACATTCTCGGGGTTATGAGAGGGCGCCGCGGGTGGGGTCGTGCACACCTGCTTCGAATGCGTACTGGGCAGGCTCCAGCCAATACGATTCTGGGCGAGAACACGGAAGGTGTAGTTGACATAGGGCGAGAGAGGAAGGTACTGCTGACTGTTCGCAGCGCTGACGGTCCTGATCTCCACCCAGGTGGCTGGCGTGAAGGTGGTATTGTACTCGATACGGTACTTGAGAATCTGGGCGTAATTGTCAGAGCCAGCGCTCCAGGACACTCGAGCTTGCTGTGTGCCACATTCCATGATTGTTACAACTTTTGGAGGTTCGGGACGACCTAGAACACACACAAAAATAGTAATACGCACTGGAAATTGTTATAAAAGACTTAGGCTAAGGTTGAAGTAACAGAACAACAGCTTGAGATTAAAGAGTTTTAACATACTGCTGCTTCAAGCCCCTGGGGTCTCAAACAACAACAGATGGGGTGTACCGAGCAACTTTACAAACTTGATCTGGCCAGCTGCAGAGAGGAATATAGGATTAAGTCAACAGAGACATCTAACATTTCTGATTTTCCTGGTCATTTTCAATTAAACACTAATGACAAGTAGGCACAGGTGGAAAAATTGAATTAGCGAATTAAGAAACCACCACCTACCTTGTACCACCAAGGTAGCAGTATGATTGGACTGATCATTCTCCAAGCCATTCTTCGCCACACAAGTGTACTTCCCAGAGTCCAGCAGATTCACATCACTGATGATCAAGGAATTGTCCATGTAGTTCTCGTACAACCTCTGCGCCTGGTTCAGGTTGATTCTCTCGCTGTCTTTGAGCCAGTACATCTCCAGCTTGCTCATCTTCTCAGGATCTGTCCTGGCAGTGCAGACAAACTTCACGTTGCTGCCGAGTTCCACCATTTGGTCCTGGGGCACCGTAAGGAGGGTGGTGGGAGCTGGAAGTGAAAAAATATTTAATTTTTCTAATAATAACTTTTAATATGCTAAAAGCCTTAAACCTATCATAGATGTTCTCTGGACAGGGTATATCAAAAGTCTATGACAACGGAGCCCAAATGACTGCTGACTGCTTTGTTATAGACTGATAATTCATCAAAATTTTAATTTAATTTAAAAAGTTTAATGATGTCACATGTAATGAGACAAATCAATCAGGAGTGAACTTGTGCAAGAGGCTGGCCACCTACCTCTGACAACCAGACGCCCATCTCTGAAGCCACTGCCAAATTTGTTGGAGGCGTGACAGGCGTACTCTCCCCCATCAGACGACTGCACATTCTGGAAACCAAAAGAACGGAATTTTCACACATTAAAAAGGGGGGAAAAAAAAAAGACCAATCAAAACTTGATGGGCACTTAAGGCGACCAGTGAAAGACTGCATCCAAAAAGGTAAGTTATGTAACATAAAATATTCTATTAGTCAAAATTACTCTGCATACTGCAATACAATCTCCTTACCAAGAGTTACTTCTCTTATTCCCCCTCAGTTTTACCTTAATTTCCAAGTCTCCACTTGGATGGATGGTATACTTGGCACCGCCACTAACATCTACTCCATTCCGCGTCCATGATATCCTAGGTTTGGGGGCACCAAACACCTGACATGGGATGATGGTGGACTTGTCTGCTGGGACCTCTTGGATCAGAGGTGGTGGACGCAGGAAGGATGGCTCCTCAGCTGAAACAGATTGATAATTACATTGAGAGAGAGAGAGAGAGAGAGAGAGAGAGAGAGAGAGAGAGAGAGAGAGAGGGAGGGAGGGAAGGTAGGAATTACCAATCAGTTATGTGAAGAGAAATTCCAAATAAATAAAGAAAACTTAGTTATCCCAACATATGTAATGACAGTTATTGCCTTTTGTTTTCAGAAGAAAACTTCCATGAATTATTTTGTCTCATTTGGCTAGAAAAAAGAGGCTCTAAATAAAGGTAAACCATCTTCAGACGTCTATCAGTTTTTCAATAAAAATAAAGCTTAAATTTCTTTTAACAGTTCTTCATGGGACTCCTTACCTAAGACATTGAGGTAGGCATCCCCGTAGACATAGCCATCTTGGAACTTGTTTGTAGCATTACACTGTACAACAAGAGTGTCAGACTTAGTCAAGTTCTTGAAGATGATTTTATCTTGTCCAACCTGCAGCCTTGGGTTATTTACATCTGAAAGGAAAAGAGACACAGTTTAGCCAAAAGATATGATTATCAAGAAGACAATGTCAAACTCCTAAACAAAAAGAAGTGCTTGATGCTATGGACATAATAATTATAATAAACACAATAACATTAATACATTATATCTACACTTCAATCATGGGTCTTAAACGAAAACATGATTCACATTAAATACTTGATCATATTATAAACACAGTTCATATTGCATACTGTTAATGAAGCTAATCTCTATGAATCAACATAATCATAATACTATATACGTCTATAACAACGACATTCCTTTATTTAGAAACTCCTGTATACGAGTCCCCTTTGCAAGTACCACTCTGTAAGCAGAAGAGTAACTTCTCTCCCTATTATATAAATATATTCAGATAATATTATGAAGCCTATATTTATTTTTTTTATTTTCATATTTTTATTCTTTTGAGATTGCATATCCCACTTACTCTCAATTGGTACTCCATTAATAAACATGGAAACTCTTGGGGCAGGTATTCCCTCAGCACGGCAAAAAAATTCAGCGTCTTCCTCCTCGGCCGCATTCACATCCATTGGCTCATTTATCCAGTAGGGAGTGGCTGTAAAAGAACAATAACAAATTATTGTACAAATTAGATGCAATATATTCATCTATCTACATATTCCTAAATATAATTTTTATGACCGGGAGAGCAAGTGGAACTCTGTTAAAGCAAGTCATTCTTTATGTATTTATTAAATATCATATAAATTTTATGAAATTATTAAATAAATTCTATTATATAATAGTTGTCCTATAATAATAAACTTACATTCTACTGTAACCCTAAAAATACTGTTAACGGGCACATCAGATTCGCTGTTTGTGGCTTCACAAGAATACGTCCCTTCGTCCTCAAATGTTGCTGGCTGAATCCATATCTCTTGACCATCGCTGACCAGTCTGTGTCTAGGGGACAGTGGACGTCCATCTGTCCGCCTCCAGATAATCCTGGGTGTGGGACTGCAGAATATGATGAGCAAATTTTAGGGATCGGTAATAAATATTGAAGGGGAACTAGGCGAGTTCCTTATTACAAGAAGTTGTAATTCAAATTTTAAAATATATAAAGTCAAAATGATAATAATAACAAGGCAGCAAAGCTGTCAAATGTACAGACAAAAAGCAGGAAATAACAAAAAAAGGCTACTGTCAATTCTGATGCAAAAGTACATTATGTTAAACTGCGAATTCAACATCAAATTTTAATTATGCTCAACAGGTAAAATACATCTGTGTCTGTACATAAAAACGGCATTTCTTTAAAATAATGGCCCGATTATGCTGATTTTTTAACTCAACCTGCGATTTAGCAGAAATGACCACTCCTGTGNTAATAACAATAAGAAATATTAACAGAGAAATACTGGAAATGCAGAGAAAATGACATAAGATTGGTAAAGTTCTTCAATACAAACAAATAAAATTAATTTTAAAATGTTAAGTCAAAAAATCAACACACAGATTATCTTTCCAACATCTGTCTAGTATATAGGAGGGAGTACCAAATCACTTACTATCCACCAAATATGCACTTGATTGCAATTCTCCCTCCACGAAGTGCCGAGACTTCGTATGGCGTGGCATACAGGGAATGCGGCCTGGTACGCACTATGGACTGCATGGCTGAGAGAAAAATGAACACGTGTGACTGTAAATTGGTGGTTTTATTTTTTAAAAACAGAAAGTTAAGCTTTCAGAGGCCTTTTTCACAAGAAGAACTCAAGACCAAATAACATTGGCTTAACTTTAAACCAAAATTTTCATCTACATCAATTCAGGATAATGTGCATTAGTCCAAGATGATGGAGCAACTACTGGTCTCAAAGATAAGCCTGGATATTTCTTGTTATAACACATGCACACTACCTCATTAAATTGAACTGCTACTGTCTATCTAGAGTTGAAGTGGACTTAAATTTGGGTCTATAAGCTTAGACCAATTTTTTGAGTAAAGTTCATTTGTGAAACACCCTCCAGAATCCTACTGTTATGGTAGCATGACAGGCATATGTTAAATATGAGCAGGCCTGTAAAGCCACAGCCACAATTCTATGTAGCCGACTAAGTTACATCCCTGCCAAAGAAGGACCACCTTTTTTGGTATCAAAATTGCAGATTGATTCTTCGCAGACTTAATTTTCAAAATAAGTAATTGATTTATTTATCTATACATATATCTATTTATTCATTATTTATTTATCTATTCATTTATATTCACTTACATCCCTGTGGATAGATCACAGCATCTTCCCCCTCTACAGTGGCACTGAGACGACTGTTGTATGCCACACAGCGGTAAATGTTTCCATTCTGTTGATCCTCTGGCAGAATATTGGCAAAGTAAAGGTTACCTGCAAGACAAAACAGTCAGAATATAGGTTACCTGTAAGACAAAACAATCAGAATTATAATGCTAAAATTAATCTTAGCGTTTACACATCAAAAATGCATGTGTTAACATAAATAATAATTAGTAGTAACTTCAATATTTTAAAAGATCTTAAAGGAGAATGGAAATTGAAAGAATTTTAAGACATTTATATTCATTTCCTCACCATCATAATCTATGGAAACTCTTCCGTCTAGTTTTAGGGGTATTTTATTGACGTTCCAGTAGATCTCAGCATCTGGGTTACTGGTAGGTGGGCTACATGTCAATTTCAAGGAGGCACCAACTATGGGACGATGTACAGTTGGCACGGTAACGGGCGGAAACTGCTCCAAAACTGACAATTGAAACAACAAATATTAATGAAGGCACCAAATTATGTAAAATTCAAAATAAAATTTTCCATCAGAAATATCTATACATAATTTATATGCACTTTCTAAAATAATAGATTTACACAGAAACTTCCTTTGATTTTTTCCCCCATAATTTATATTCTTTATCATTCATTCATTCACCGACCACAGGGGAAAAAAGGCATCTGCATCAAGGAAGACATACACATGTATACTGTACAAGCATTGGATTTTAACGTAAACTGATAATAAACTAAAAACACAGCTCTCATCAATTATGCAGACATTGTAGTAAATTTGGGCACAAGAGAATATTTCCTCGCTTCCCAGTGGCCCATGTCTAATAAAGAGATCATTTTCTCATCTCTTTTCACAAGGCCACTGGTGTGATGGAAGCATTCGCTGTTTTCAAGGATGAGACTGCCATTTAGTGCATAAGTCTGAAAATAGGGTGTGGGGTCCAGGGGTCCTTCTGCAGCGATCTCTAAATTAAATTTTTTGGTCCCAATAAGTCTGTAATCTGACTATTGTCGAAAAAATCACATTACTACGTATTAAAATACAGCAACTTTCCATTGGCGAAAAAAAAAAAAAAAAAAAAAAAAAAAAGCCCTGTTCTTATTTTTTTATGTATCATTTAGAAACACCAAAAACATGATTGAAAAAGCTTTTTAAAAAGTCTCACGGAACATGTCAATTCAATTCTACAAAACAGCAAGCATAAATACTTCAAGCTGGATTATCCCTTTTCCACAATTTCAGTCCATTTCCCTTTCTGCTCTTTATAAGTTTTATAATCCCTGCATTAAATAAATGTTATTCATCTAATGAGCCAATTCAGCTAATCCAGCAATAAGTCATGTTTCTTGCCTGTTAAGCAGCACGTTTCTCCTAATCCAAACTATTGTCATAAAATCCCAAGTAACACCTGGTTACATAAGTAAAATCAGAAACCACTCTCATTACGCTGTGTCATTGTAAACAGATTTACGCTAGAACTCATCATTCAGTCTCTCACAAAGGTCCATCCTTTGGAAAAACCCTTAATTAGGTGGTCCGACATCTTCGGACTCTGGTCGAGCTGTTAAGAGAGGCACAGATTTGAGGCAATTTCTTTCGATCCAACTGTTTGCAATTGTAAAAAGATTAGACATTAAATCTTCCCTGTCAGTTAGTGGCACTCATCATTTGGAACAGCAGTAAATGCTTTTATGGTAATTTTCAAGCACCCAATTTTTATAAATTCACTTTTTCAAGATTTATCATTTTTAGAGGATGATAAAATTCACTTTTTGACACAAAGTCAACCAACTTTTCAAGACTTTTAAATAAACATTTAAGTATTATAGTCAAACAAAATATTCCCCTTTGCTTGGGAGGGGGGATGTGTAATGCATAATGTTTAAATTTATAAAGCATTTACAGTACTCTGCCTTTCCTTCACTAAACAATGAAAATAACCGGATTTCTATATCTCTCCCTTTCCCATTGTAGAGGTATTAAATTATAATGAGTCATTTCACCTCACCTGTGGGGCATTATCTCCAGGGGAGCCTAATTAGCGGTAGAAACTTAGCATTCTCCCATAAGTATATACATCCTCTGATCAATATCCCTCCTTCCGATCAATATCCCTCTACTTTTTACTATTTTAATTTTTAATTTTGAAATTAATGAGTAAATGCCAAAGCACTTTTAATTCTTCCCCCTGAACAAAATCTCCGACTCTCTCTCATCAATTTTTTACATGTATCCAACAATAGCCAAGATTTCTCCATCACCACCAACCTTTCCAAACAACATCTCCAATCCTTTTTTTTTATATTTTTCATGGAAAAATTCTGACCCAAAGCCCAGTACTTCACGACAACCAAACTTACCTAAGAAAACCTTTAACCTTCATCACCTAATTCTAAACAATTCTGATCCAAAAACAACAATTACACAGACACTTACCTCCTTTCCATAACCTCGTCTTTACTGAGAGCGACGTCCCAAAAGCGTTGGTGGCGTTACACTGGTAGTAACCCTGGTCCTTGTCTTCGGGGTCAGTGATCACCAGCGTGCCTATGTTAGGTTGGAGGGTGTAACGCGGCAGATTTCCTATCTCCAAATATTCTTTGTCTTTGTACCATGAATATCTGAAAATAAATAAATAAATAAATAAGCTAAGAATGGATAAAAATAATGAAGATTTTAAATCTGTAGTTAGACTGAACTGCAGAATACAGTAGACTTTGCATATTATTATAACACTCAAAGATAAGAAAATTACATGCATAGTTACACCAAAAGTCGAGGTAGGTAATATTTATAAATTTCAGCTAATCATCCAAGAGTTGCAAAATATTACACTGCACTCGGCATAAATAGATCAAGTAACAACACAAAGAATAGTGTTGCCAATGTTCATAAATTTCAGCTTATGCCAAAGAGAAAACCCCATTCCTCAAGATTTGTTAGAGATTTAATATTATTACAGCCACCATACTTACGAAGGTTGTGGACTTCCTGAAGCTACACAGGGCAACTCCACACTTTCTTTTTGTCTGTATATGAACACCTTGGGGGCCTGTACATTGATACTGGGGGGCTGTGTGAAGTCTTCAGCTGAAACAAAAAGCAGAGTTTACTGAGTATTGCTACAATATCTTATTGTCATATCACAACACAGATTGTCACAACCAACACAATTAGCTTGTCACAGCCAACATAACCAACACAATACTGTTGTCACAACCAACACAAGTTGTCACCACTAACACAATCAGCTCTTCATTATCAAGATAAACAATCAATATAATCAGCACATAATGGCAAACATAACCAGAAAACCTATTCCTTGGTGTTCAGCATAATCTTAATTTTATCTTATAACCCTGAATTTCAATACATAAACAACACAACGCACAAGCAAAATAACCAAAATTTAACAAAAATAATTATAACAAACTGGGTATTTTGTATTGTAGGGAAGTGAAACTGCATTTCACTTCTTTTGTGCATCACATCAAGACAAATGCAGCAAACGAACAAACACTTATAAGATTCAAAACTTGCATAACTTCATCCACCTTGCAACCAATTACACTCAAAATAATCTACAAAAAGGACTAAAGCCCAAAGCTTAGAAAAAAGTATAAAAATAAACAAATCAAGGGGAGGGGGGGGGGGGAGAAGAAGAAAAAACTTTCTTTTCAAACATCAGAAACTAAAAATTATACAGCAACTCAATTTTCCCTCAACTTATTCAAGAAGTCAAAAAACAGAAAAAGAACAAGAAACCCAACCTCTCTAACACCCTTGAAGCAACAAAACACCATTTTGTAACCTGTGAAACTAAAGGAGTGAAAGAAAGCTGTAAGTTATCAACACTGATAAGCAAATGACAGAACCATCTAATGATTCAGAAGTGGAAACGTCACACTACAGTGTAAAAGACCTTTGCCATCAGACCCGAATCTAAATATTTTTAAATGACAGAACAAAATAAGGCTCTATTCCCATAGATTTTAGATCGATCTATCCCCGCAGGGAGTCTCACTAGATTACTTTCAGATAATCCGACTTAAATGTCCGTCCCGCCTACTGCAAGCTGTAAGAGGGTAATTAACTTTCGTGTCCGCTCGGCTGACAGCCATTTAGCGTGAACCCCCAGGGAGTTAGGTCGATCTAAAGTAGGTCGATCTAATCTATGGAAATGGGGTGTAAGACTTAAAATCCACACCCCTTAAAAAAAGCTCATGCATACTGAGAACAAACACATCATCACCCAGGTATGGCTAAAATTCCACACAAAAGTTAAGATTGCTCAGAATATGAGAGCACAAGTGACAGACACCTGTCAGGTGATATCTGAAGAGGGAATAAAAAATAATGAATGTCTTAAGAGGACAGATTGACAGCTGCCAATCAGGAGATATCACACAGCGGTGTACTTACAGCCTCCCTGCCAGTCTGTGAGGCCAGTCAAGCCTGCAGTGGGGGAGGGAAAAAAAATTAATACACACAACATACACATTGGGTTGTCTCTAAAACTAGGTCATACATGTAAAGGTCAGCCATGCTTCAACCTCATATAGGTCAACCAGAGGTCACTTCCATAAGGTCATCTAGAGGTCACTCTGGGGTCATTTCAATACAGGTCATCCATATCTAGCTCAATCAAATTTCATTTTCATAAAGGTCAAACAGATTCAGGTCATCCAAAGTTCATCTCTATGTAGATCAAACATATATAACATATATATATATATATATATATATATATATATATATATATATATATATATATATATGTCACCAAGTGTTCATTCATAAATAGGTCAAAGATAAACAGGTCAACAATCAGAAGGTCACTGAATGATACAAAAAAAAAACCTGACAAAGACGATCACCCAAAGCAATGTATGATCAATTTATAACCTAAAAACATTTTTATCTGGTATCTTACCGACTTGTATCCTACCATCTTACATAATGCTTCAAAAAATATACTAATAAAAATACAGAGTTCATATTTACAATAAAAACAGAAGTTCCTTTCCTAATAGTAATCTATATTATGAATTTACTGCAGGAACCCCCCTGGATTTGAGTTATCAGCCAACACACTTCCCCTCCTGAATGGAGAGCTCTTACGTGATATTTGATCTTGCTGTCAAAAGTGAAGTGGCTGAATACAGTATTTGCTCCCTTTTAGTGGTAATGTTTGGTCACAATTACCTCCATGAAAGAAGAAATCTTTAGTAATGTTTTCCCAGCATTTGATTCAAAACATGAGAACAAAAGTTCAGTAAATTAATTTTTGAGATGAAAATGGTTACCTATCGACTGGTTAATTGATAAAATGAATCACTAAAGACTGGTTTTTGGATCTTTGTTACATCAGAACCAATGGTTAATTGCTGATAAGTATTTATCTCCCTTAAACAGAAAATGGAAACAGTATTCAGAACTAAAGCCTTGTTTTCTTTATAGCCACATACCAATATCATTAACAACACAAATGAAAAAAAAAAAAAAAAACCAGGGTGAAAATCCAAATCACAAATATTTTAATAAATTTACAAATGAAATTTAAAAAGAAATTTGAATCCAAAACTTAAAATGTAAAATGACAATGCTATACCACAGCCCTCATAATAACCCTGTTCACTTCACCAAGTTTAAAATATATCTTATTTGAAACTAAGTCAAGAAACCCAGGGTGCCTCCCCTATTCCCACACCACAGTGCCATTAGCTGTGTTGACTATATATCTGTAGACATATTTGCCTTATTGATTGCAGCCCCGGACTTCTCCACTGCCAACATAACCCTGATCTATGCAGCATGTAATGTATTGATCCCCTCGACGACCTCAACGCCAATCCCTCCGAGTTGCTACCCTTCTCGGACAGTTTCTATAATACTAATTGTATTCTAGCACGATCCTAATGAATATCATGCCAGGACTTGGTTGAGAAAATGCCATTTTTATACAGAATTAGACAGGGTTATCAGGTTTTCTGTGAAATGGGGAGTGTGACTGAAATGGAGCAGTGTTTGCAAGGTTTTAGCTTTTGAGAGAATCTCAGTGACTGAAGTGCATTATGTTGTACATTGATTTCAGTCTCTTTGTGTGAAAAGAAGCCTGGTTCCTGTTTTTTATCCTTCAATTTTTTTTTCACCTAGCAGCATTTCTACTAGATAATAGCATTTAGAACAGTATTCAGTTACAATGTTTTTCCCATTTAATTTCTCCATTCTTTTTTCATCATAAATCATTCCCACTGCCTCACCATTTTATTATCCCAGTGAGAGACACATAATTGAAAGTGAATACATGCACAAGCACACACACACAAAATGCCCAAATTTTTCTAGCAATTAAGCCGGTTAGCTGAAGAGCACTTGGCAAATCTCAACTTTGAGTACCACTACACATCTACTCTTTCCTCCCTCTCCTTCTCTCTCTCTCTCTCTGTCTCTTTCACACACACACACACACACACACACACACACACACACACACACACACACACACACACACACACACACACACACACACACGCACACACAAATGCAAAGACACAAGCAGGTCAGAGACAAATACAGCCAAGCAGGCCAGAGACATGCACATGACTACAGGCAACCATACCCCCACCCACACGCCCCCCTCCCCNGGCTCCATCTATTTCCACAAAAACACACTTTAAATCACCAGATAATAGCTAACTCAGGAAATTAGACACTGGAGTTGTCAAACTTTGATATTGATTAATTAAAAGCGTCCCATTTCCTGGGAAAATAAATGAGACATCTCTCTCAGTTCTGTCCTCTCCTCACGCCCATTTTGTGACAGAAAGGGGGAGGGCGGGGCATGTCAAAAATTCAGATGAATACCAGACCAAAAAAATCAGCAACCTCTTAGAATCTAAATGATTGAGAGAATAAAAAAAAATTCTGGTTGTGCAGAAACATTATATAGATTTTATTTCCATATCAACTGCAGAAAGCAGAGTTTTCCAACTGTTACAACATGAAAATGAACTAGCTACTAGACCATTCAATGAACAGGTCACAAATGGTAGCTACCTGACATGGAGGACCCTGAAGTGTCAGATAAGCATGCAACTAGATTCCTCGGTGTACATAAAACTTTGAATCCATTGATCAAAAAAAAAATCCATTCATTAAACAAGAATTTTTCATTGCCACCTACATTAAGAGTGCAAATAACTTTAAAATGTGCACCTTATATCTGAAATCCACCTTTTTTTAATAATGTGCATCTTAAAAAATTCATGCAATATAAATAAAAATGTTTAAATGATACACTCATTAAAAACTATGGTTCCTCATTTGTGAAGTTTCTGACATCTCAACCAAGTTATCAAAAATATCTAAAACAAAACACATGGCAAGTCTTTTTGCTTAATCATCCTTTAACTACTGTCTGTTTGGACCAGAATGAATCTGAGAAAGAACATGTCCAGCCATAAATAAAAACCATCCACAACTTTTCAGCCACCCAAGAAGTGATGAGGGTCAACCGTGGTCATCTACTTGACCCTCCTGACCATCATGGCAGGTTCAAAGTGGTTTCCAGAGGGAAATACTTGCAGAATACTGGACATGTGTAAAACTTAAGTATCTTGCACAGCAGTAAAATGTAAGTGGTGAACAAGGAAATCAATAAAAATCTTGGGAAAGTTTTTTGTTTGGTGTTTGTTCTATTAAACTAGCAAAAAGGAAAAAAAATACCGGCTGCCAGTAAACCTGTATTGGGATGCATGCAACTAAGCAACATATTCTTTCAATAATAATATTATTTAATAAAACAAATCAAATTTCAGTTTCTTTTTTTCCAAGACGTCATATTTTTCCAGACATGTTAACCAGTTGGACCACTTCAACCTCCTGATCCCAAACTTCATTCCAAACAACCATCCGTGCAAACACTGCTACAAAAACAACATCAATAATGTTACAAAAACAACCAATATTTTTCTTCAGCCCCGCCTCAAAGAGCCCAAAAGCCGCCATTAAACATGTGCCCCCCCCTACACTTTCGACACACTTACTCCTTTCTTCAGCACACCTGAGTACACTGGGCACCAGCTTCAACGAGATCAAAGGACCAATATGGCTACTCCCGCTCATTGATAATCGATTGTACAAATCTACTACCACCAATTGGTCGATGTAACTTAAAGTAGCCCTCGTTACTGCCATTCTTTTCCCTGTATCTTTTATTTAGTTAATCTAATATGCAATAATGTTTTCTGTTACTTTATGGACTCCTTTTTAAGTGCTTGGGGTTAATCAGAAAATACACTGTGATGTTTTTGTATTTAAACTTCAGCTTTCTGCCTGAAGCAACTGCACTTACAACAAAGAGTTTTTACTCAACAAGCTTTTCTATCTCAAACAGGGTCCAAATATTTAAACTACCAAATCTTACAAGTGTTCGATAAAAATGTGGGCTTTAAGTTTCATCTTCACTGCAAGAACTGGGATATTTTAATTAGAAAGCAGAGTTTGCATAATGATAACCCAACAGCTAATAACCAATGTTATCACAGATCTTGAACAAATCTTGTGAAACTATGTTTTTCTTTGGTTGACTGAAATGTAAATATTGCTATAACTTGAAACTTAAGATAACTGTAAGAAAACTCCCGCCCTAAAGTAAATGATGAATAATGCAAAATTCACCAGATACATCACCACATAAAAATCATTACACACCTTTTTGAAAGAACTTACACAAAAAATACATTCCATTTCATGACTGGCTCTATTACTACTGAAGTACATAATAGAGGGCTGTCAGGCAAGGAAAAAGGTAAAGTTGAGTGGAAACAGCATTAGCATCTTCATTTCTGTCAAGTAGCTAATTCTTCATCTGGCGCCATTTTGTTGACAGCTATCACATGAGCACTTGTAGACGCTCTCTTGTTGTATCACTCTCAAAGTATGAAAATACTTCTCTCTAAATCACTCAGAATAAAGAACAGCCTGATTCATTCCTATTGCATTTTTTACTGACAGTATCCAAGAAGCCAAATATTTTTTTCTTCCATATCTATTACAGCATTCTCTCAATGAAAAGACAGCATCATCATTCTGTGGAGAATGCCAGATTTACACCATGTAAAAACAGGGTTGAATGCAAGACCCACAGTCAACATACTGGCGTTACATGCACAGTACAACAGTGATATTTGCCATCAGGCAACTAGTTCGCCAGTTGCAAAAAAAAAAAGTCTTGTCAAGATAGGTAATCAAATTTGCAGTTCCCATTTGTTATGACTGATGAAGTGAAAAACAAATGCATCCAGCTATAATAAGAACATCCCACGTCCTAATTCAAAGAAACTTCAATTCACCATATCAGGAAGTTGGCATGTGCCGTTTGCACCCAACGAAGCAGACCAATAATGTTTCCAGTGTAACCGAGCCTTGGCATCATCCCTATCCTCGTCTATTCTTTAACTGAGCCTCTTGGAAGGCTCTCAACTCTTCACACTAAGTGGTCAATACATCATAAACAATGTAGCTGTCCTTCCATAGATTCCATTACACTAAAACAAAAGCTGCAGTCTCTCACTTTTATCTGTTCTACAGAGTGATATACAAAGTGATCAGCACACTGCCTGTACAGACACTTGAGATCCAGAGTCACATTCAAGGTGGTACAGGCTATCAATTCTCTTTAAAGGGATAATAACTCTTCATATGAGATTTATATTTCACAATAAAAACATTGTGAATAACTCACAGAAATATAATATATTCTGTTTTACCACAAAAATGGCAGATATAGCTATTATTCTGATATCTGAGCTGGTCTTCAGACCACGGGACCTCCATTGATGGCTATACTCTGTTATAATCTCTTAAGAGTTTTTAACAAAAAACCAAACTTTTTAGAAAAAAAAAACAGGGACTAACTTTGAATGTAAAAATGGATTCATTAACCATTGGTAAGTATGGGAAAATTGTTGTTTACTCCAGGAAAATTCATTTTTTTGGCCAAAACGAAGAGTTATTATCCCTTTAACTTTAAAATAAGAAAGCAGGCACTTGACTGCACTTTCCCCGTTTCCCATGTAAGACACTGTCATCACCCTCTTAATGAGTCTGGGAATAAACCAAGATATAAAATTTAAACCATCCCCTGCCCCTCAAACCCACCCCCTTGTTACCCAGAAATTCAACTTCCCTAAGACCCCAAGAATCAATCACTTTATTTTTAAAGACTGTCTTAATATTTTCAATTCAGAGGATTCCTAAGGACTGATCTAGCCATTGTGCTTGTGCCACATAAAGGTGATTAATGAAAATAAGAATGATGGCAATGTGATCTATTAGCCAACCAATCTTTAAGACTTAACAAATTGACAAAATAGTAGTTAATTATGACTTAGACAGTGGAGGATGGATTATCAGTGTGAACTATCTTCTATGTCTAAATTTCAACAGATGATAAACTGGGTGGAAAAAAAAGATCTTTATTTCCTGGACAAATTGGCCAATTTTCTCTCTAGTAACAGGTCTTGAAAAGGTGACTAATCCATCACCACCTTCACAAAACTACAGGCAATTTATATTCTGATACCAAAACTTGTTCAAATGATTTATTAATGTAGAAAACATTGCCTATGCACCATTACCTACAAGTCATTTCACATCATATTTAGACAGTATAGTCAATATTTTCATATTGTCTATAATCCGACTTTCTAAATAGGATTTTTCTGAGGAAATGTTTCATAATGCCATTCACTTGGACTTAATTAAACAGACAAAAGAACTGAAACAAAGCAATTAATCCTAATTGTATGGCACCATAATTCAGTTAATCACCAGTATTAATGATGTCAGAGCAAATGGAAAGGCCATAATTAAGACAAAAAATGGCAATATTTTCCTTAATTTCTCATATGTATGGACAATGGAACAGAAGGCATAATAAAGGATGGGGATGATAATGTTAAGCAGCAGAGATTTATAATCCAGCCAACTATAAATTAATTTAGAACATTTATTCAAAATTGAAAAATATCCTTATCGAACAGAGTGTACACAAAAGCAGTCATTAGCAATTACACATGTATAGAATTTTTTTTTTCTACCACCAATACCAAAGATTAATTTTTTGACTATTTTAGCAGACAGCTGGCTGTTCATTTACATCCCTGGCATCAAATGACTGTAAATAAATAGATTGTCTGATGATTAAGACCTCATTAACTACCAGCACACAGGAGGAGTCCAATCAGGAGAGGTGATGCCACAGTGACCTTCATCTCTGCCAGGTTAACAGACATGAAAAACCATCTCAAACTTATACTGGATATTCAGGGTGTGGAACTTGTCCTTATTTTATTTATTTTTTTATTTATTTTTTTTTGGGGGGGGGTTGAGGGGGGATTTAAATACTTCATTTCTTTTATCATATTTATTAAATATGTATCTATTTTTTATCTTAACTCACCAAGATGGGCATTTAAAGGTGGGTCTAAATTTAAACTTAATGATTAAAGGCCAATGGTGACATGCCAAATCACTCCAGGGGCCAAGAACGGTGATGCTGACCCAGTGGCTTTCTCTGTACCCTGCTGCTTTTAGAAGAGCCCAAGCCTTCCTTTCACCAATGAAGAAAGTCTTGCTTTTCAAAATATAATACAAAATCCATATTTTGTAAAAAAAGATATCTGCCTTTGAGTTAAAGGATTAAATGTACCAAAAGGAAGGAAATTCACAGCTTTTTAAAAGACGTTTCTCTAAAGTAAACCATGGAACTGCCACAATGAAGGGAAATCCTGTTTTTCAAAATATAATGCAAAATCCATATTTTGTGAATTAAACCTGCCTTTGTGTTTAAAAAGGATTAAATAAACCAAAAGGAGGGAAATTCACAGCTTTATAAAAGACGCTTCTCCAAAGTAAACCATGGAAATGTCACAATGAAGGGAAATCCTGAAACTGTATCTCCAGCACTTTGAACTGCGCTCAAATTCCTTATAAATTTTCACAGGACAAAGCTTTCCAATAAATTCAACACCAAATCCACTATTCTTATACTTCTCAGGAGAAGAATTGCAATCAATTATTGTGCTCCATCACGGCCAACTCGGTAACAGCATTGATTTCTGCCAGAGTTTGTAAGTGTTTTCTGAAAGCTTTCAGTCTAGATACCGTCCTGTTGTAAATGGCCGCTGCGTTATCAATAATATCGTAGGCAAGAGGAAGCAAGAACAAAAGGATAAATCATTACATTAATTTATCTGGACAATGGCAACAGCAGGGATTGTGTCAATTGTTTGGTAACAACTATTCTGTTAGGAACAATCATAACAGAATATTTGTATGGCTTAGAAGATTACCGACATTCCAATCTGTTCACTTCAAAGCTGTATTGGTTTGATTGCTTGCATATTTTTCCAAAACTTATGTTCTCCTAGCTTTAAAAAATCAGGAGAAATTAACTATTCAACCAATATTTTGACATTTATAAAATATCTCATGCACAAAAATTTTTACGAAGGTATGTTTTACAACAATTTATTCCACTTTAACACCCGGGTAAATTAGACCTACCACTGTTTAAGAACTCTTAAACATCACGCTCCATTTCTCTCAACTTATCTGGTCAGTTCAACTCAGATGACCATGTCGTGGTTTTAAGCTGGACATGCTCCATTTTCAGTGGTATTGTGATACTGGCTAAAGCTTGATACATTTTACTTGGGATAGGTCTTATTTGACAAGTTAAGGTCAGACTTTGGCAAATTCTCCCCCTTGACTCTATTTGACCTATGTCAGTCAAAACATTGAGATCTGATACCAGCCAGCAGGCAGGAGTTTTTCAAGAGCCTATTAACAGCAATTTGCACCAGATCTCATTACAATGGATTCCTAAATGGCATCCTCCCGAAACTGTTTGTAAATTATACTTTCACCAGTTCACCAACGTGATTAACTGTGGGCTCTATTTTTTAGAGATTTTGTATAAAAAAATTTGCACAACATTATATTCGTTGTCCCAGCGTTTTGGCAGCATATGGTTGTGCGGGCAGGCTGGCACGTTATATGGCTTGTGTGCCCTGGACATGCATGGTTAAAACAGAAGAGGCCGTGGAATGGCAGCCATTACCTCGTTAATGAAACACGCAAATTCGCCGTTCTTGACATGAAACTCGTTTTTTGAGACGAGGTAGGTTTTACAAGGGGCTAAATGTATGCATCATATGACAGACGGTTTGTTTAGGCCACTGGGACGTTAAATTTGTTAAGAATTATGAATTATTCACAAATACACCTTATATACTTCTCAGGCCCAGAGTGAAATCAAAATTTCAATATTTTTAAAAATATGCAAATTCTTTGTGCTGCGGATCAAGTGTAATTTTATAACCTCACCTCCCCCCCCCCCACACATACACACAATCTAAGGCTCTATTCCCATAGATTTTAGATCGATCTATCCCCGCGGGGAGTTTCACTAT